AACCGCTAAAAAGAACCCCTTTGTCGCATCGCCTCAGTTTCAAGGCACTCCCCTTGCTGCCTCAGCCAGTATCGGAATCCACGGCGTTGACATATCGTGTGACGTGCAGTTTCGTGGTCATTTGGAAGAGAAGGCCAAATTGGCCTCTAAAAAGCTTGGCGTGCTCAGCAGAGCGGGACAGTATTTCATGCCGACACACCGCCTGCGACTTTACAAGGCGCAGGTTCGGCCGCACATGGAATACTGTTCTCATCTCTGGGCTGGGGCTCCCCAGTACCAGCTCCTTCCACTTGACCGCATCCAGCGCAGAGCGGCTCGAATCGTCGACGACTGAGTGCTTTCCGATCGGCTCAATTCGCTGGCACTGCGAAGAGATGTTGCATCTCTTTGCATTTTATTTCACATATACCATAGAGAGTGCTCTGAGGAATTGTTCAGATTAATCCCAGCCGCCAAATTTCGTGAACGCACTACGCGGCAAACGTCCCGATACCATCCACACCATCTGGATGCTTGGCGGTCCAACACAGTACGTTTCAAAAGGAGTTTTCTTCCGCGTACAACCTCTCTATGGAATAGTTTACCACCGGCGATTTTTCCGGACCGATACGACCTGGGGACCTTCAAGAAAAGAGCTTACTCCTTTCTAAAGGGCCTGCAACGCACCTGCAATTCCCCTGGTGTTGCGGTTGATCATGGGCGGCGGTAGTCACTTAACATCAGGTGAGCCGCATGCTCGTTTGCCCCCTCTTCCATAAAAAAAATTAAAATTTTATTTAAAAGTGATTTTATTATTAAATTTAAATTCAAAATGTTGTCCCATAATTCGGTATTTTGTGTAACGACGCTTGTGTGACGGTGCTGTGACCTTAGTACAGATATTTGGAACGCTCTAGTAACTTTCTTAAGTCTGGCAACATTTAATCTGCTACCAAATTTACAAGAAAATGTGGCAGCCATCTTACTTTAGTGTCATTCACACTGTGAGCGTCTTTCACGAATTTCGTCAGTAAAAAATTCCCCACCAAGTGACGCAAATAATTCTGCTAAGTTTAGTGTTTTGCATTATTGTATTTCTTACTGTAATAAATAATTTAAACATCTAACATTTGCTACAGTTCGATTTGTAAAATTCGTTATACTTTTTTCGTAGAATTTGTTGTCAATTTTGTCACAAGTATTTTTATTACTTTTGGGTGACATTATGTTACGTTACACAAAAAACAAACCTTAAGCTCTGTACACATTGTTTTTTATGTATACAAAAATTATGTTTGTATGTTTGTTTCGGTATGCGCTTCTATACCATTAATCCGGTTACGTTAAAATGTTGGTGAGTTGTTGTGCGCACGCCCGCATAGGTTATAGAATAAGTAAAAAAATACAGAGTTTAAAAAACTTATTTGGCTCAATTTATTTGTTTTAGCGGGATACCTTAAAAATAGTTAATTAATTCGTAAGACGACATCGACATCTGCTAATAATTTCTGATGCTCTTAGATTTTAAGTTTTGCAATTTACGTAATTATATAATTACTGGCGAAGGGGTAAGCACGACCTCTTTATACAAACGTAGTGCAAGTTTTTCTTTCTGTTTTTGCTTTAAAGGATTATGTTTTTGTCTTCGTTTTTGCCTTCTTTCGTTCATTTAGGTACTTTCTTATGGTAATTTTATACTTTCGCGGTCCCCTCGTTTCTTGGCTCTAGAAAATCGAAAAATCGTCCGTTAAATAAAAATATTAGTTTTTATGGCGAATTTATAAAAAAAATATGGAAAATGTCTCACCTGAAGATTTCATATAGTAAAAAACAATGTGTACAGAGCTTAAGGTTTGTTTTTTATGTAACGTAACATAATGTCACCCAAAAGTAATAAAAAAATTTGTGACAAAAGTAACAACAAATTCTACGAAAAAAAGTATAACGAATTTCACAAATTGAACTGTAGCCAATGTTAGATGTTTAAATTATTTATTACAGTAAGAAATACAATAATGCAAAACACTAAACTTAGCAGAATTATTTGCGTCACTTGGTGGGGAATTTTTTGCTGACGAAATTCGTGCGAGACGCTCACAGTGTGACTGACACTAAAATAAGATGGCTGCCACATTTTCTTGTACATTTGGTAGCAGATTAAATATTGCCAGACTTAAGAAAGTTACTAGAGCGTTCCAAATATCTATATTACGGCCACAGCACCGTCACACAAGCATCGTTACACTAAATACCGAATTATGGGACAACATTTTGAATTTAAATTTAATAATGAAATCACTTTTAAATAAAATTTAAAATTGTTTTATTATACAACCGTAACCCTGTCTAAATATATTTGATGAAGTTTTTTTCGTTAGCTCTGCAAATAATAGAGTTATGTCACTATGATCAACTAATTCGGTGAGGTGGACATCACATTTTTGTATTGGGAAAAAATTACCCTCATAAACATTTTTTTGGGTATCCATGAACTAATTAAAGGAGATATAAAAATTATTTATAATAAGTACTCGTAGATAGCTTAAGCTTGATACAAAAATATTTGATTTGTAAATTCAATAACGCAAAGATTTTTTATAGCCGTTTAAAGACCGAGGACAGTTTTTTTTACAAATGTACAATTTTTTTGAAATTGACTCTCATATCGTCACACTATCCTAATTCAGCACTGATCATCATCATGACAGCTACAAGTCCACTGCTGAATATAGGCCTGTGTGCTACCTGCATCCATTGAATTCCAGCGTGTCTCACTAGATTGTCACTTCATCTAGTCGGGGTTGCACTACACACACACTACTCTTCATCTGTCGGTACGAAGTTGCCCCTCGAGAACATTTCTTCCTCATCGGTTGTCGGTTCTTCGAGCTATATAGCCGGCCCATTGCTACTTCAGCTTAATAATACGTTGGGCTATGCCAGTTACTCTGGTTCTACTACGGATATTCTCGTTTTTAAGTCTTATATTTTTTTTAAAGTCCCGCTGGGTTTCTTGCTGGTTCTTTCTAGTACAGAGGTTTTTCTCGAACCCGTGGTAAATTAAACAAAAGAGTGACTTTTAATAAGTATTATTTATAATGTTTATTGAATAACAAAGTTTCTATTTATAACGCAGAGAAGCATATCATAGCCCTCCCCATAGTTCGCTAAGCGACCTTGAGCTTCCTCATACGGCCAGCATTGAAGAACTCAAGTCTCATAAGTTTCACTGCCATTGTATTGCCACGCACTGATTGTACAATCTCGTTTTCAAGTTTTGGGGAATAGGTATCTGACGAGAAGATGTGTCGTAATCTTCCGAACCCTGCCCAGCCGAGTTGAATCTGTCGATTGACCTCTCAGTCGAAGCTGGATTTATTTAGTCGGACTATTTGTCCCAGGTAAATATACTCGTCAACAACTTCGAACGTAGTATGCTCCAAACAACTATCGGCATAGGTATGACGTGGACGTTAGACATGATCTTTGTTTTGTCCATTATTATTTTAAGAACTATCCGCTGGGAGACACTATTGGGGTCTTTGAACATAGTGCTCAGGTCCTCTAGTGATTCTGCAATAAGGACTATAACGTCGGCAAATTAAATGTGAATGATGTACTCGCCATTAATGTTAATACTGTATCTTTTTCGGTCAAAAATGTAGCGGTGAAGAGTTTCGGGTATATACCTAAATAAATGTAAAATAATACGACTGCGGGACCTTCGGAATCTCCAGAGCCTCTCCTTTTTTAAAAATACGGTACAACGGCGGTGGTAGTACCTTAACGTGCAGTTTGCTCCTCCCTCTCTTTTGTAAAATAATGTTCTTTTGAACAAGACCTTCACACCTTCGTTCTATATAATTCGACTGTCAGCGTGCGTGCGTAAGTGCGTGCGCGCGCGCTCGGGCGCGTTTGTGTGTGTGTATGTGTGTGTGATTGTGTGTATGTAAACCTCTTATAACTTTGAACGGCTTGACCGATTGAAACAAACTAAGCGAATTTCCAGTATTTCATCAAACTTAGATTTCCTATCAATTTTAACTAATTCGGACCGGTAGATTTTAAAAAATCTCAAAAAAAATGAGATTTTTTTTTGGAATATCTTTTAAATGTCTTATTGATCGATTCCAAAAACTGATCAGCTTTTAATCTTGAAAAACCACGTCGATCGCCGCCGGTTCGGTCAAAATTGGTTAATTCGTTCGTGAGATCTCAGACGAAATAAAAACTATTTCGTCTGAGCGTGGATATCCGTTAACGAAACATTTTTAACAATATATTTTTTTAAATCACTCAGATATTTTTCACGCTTTGCATTTGAAATAAGCAGGAAGTTCCAGCGATGGCCTGCACAGTTAACCAATTTTTTTATACAAGTAAGGTCGACAACAAACTCGCAGACTACCTTGCCTATGGTTCATAGACATCTTAATAATCAATTAAGGATCAAAGTGCAGATGAATTACCACTAAAGTCTACAGTTGAAATGGACAGTGAAACGTTGGGATTCCTTCCTATGCTAAACTTTCAACTAATTGACGATTGTAGTACGTCACTCTGCTTCTTATCACGAGTGTCGATGTTTTAGGTCTCAGCAACGAAAAAGATTGTTCTGTTTACTGCCTTAGGATGTCTTCCAATAATAAATATATTTAAAATTATATTTGTCTCCAATATAATAAAACTTTATGTCCAGTAGTGGGTAATAATGGGCTGTAATGATAGTGATAATGATAGTATTAAATGTAATTGTGCCCATTAACATATTGACATAAAAACTAAGATCGACTACAGCAAAGTTACACAACTCACGGCCAGGGAGACCTTTGTGTATTTTACTTATAATAACAACATTAATGGTCATTCCTTTGTACTTATCTAAATTGACACGGATATGAATCACCACGTGCAAGGTTCAATTTATGGAGCAGTCACATCTCGAACGCAGTGTGGTGTGGGTGTGTTTAAAATTCCTCTAGTTTGACATTTTGCGACCGTAGTGACAATCGGGCCGGGAGATGCTTGAAGCAGCTCAAGAGATATTTCAGTACGTATGCCATGTTATTTAAAACGTCCCTGGAGTGAATAGTTATAATTGACATCACTACTAAACTCAATAATAAACAGTGAACGCAAATAATCGGTTTCACTAACCGATTAGTGGTGGAATTTGAGTTAAGTAAATATTAGGAGGTAGACCTACAATTGATAACTGTTCTTTCGATTTATTTATGAGTACTTTTCTATAATAATGTTTATGTCATATAAATAGCTAACTGGGAAAAGTACTACTCTAAATATAGTTTTCATATTTTTATGCTTAGTTGTTTAACATTAAAAAATATGTTCACATTTTAATAGGTAGTAAATTTTGGTACGCTTCTCCTCCATTTTTACGTTTACATGCGTTGTGTTTTACACCACACTATACATCAATTAGTAATATTAGAATTGAAGGAACTCAAACAACACGCATTGATCATGAACTGTTATGATCTTAGTGAGAATACTAGGTCCTAGTAACGAAATTATTGTATTGTCTTCAGTTATTAATACGTCTGAAAAATGTCATATTATTTCTGAATAATATGATACATCTGCGTCTGGAATTGGCTGAAAACTGAATTACAAAATTTCAATAGATTCATACATAGATACATACAGGTCAAGTTAATATAAAGTGTTTAAAATTGGTCAAGTCGGTCAGGCACGCGTGAAGTGTTCTGCTGTGCAGGTTTGCTGTGTGTAATAAGTATACCAAATTGAAACATTCAGTCACAATTCTTTTCAGATTTTGAATTAGGTACATTACTTAAAAAGTTAATGATGGTTAACACCAGTTCAGGCTAATTTTTGTACTTTTTGAACATTTTTGTATTTACTAGCTAGCCATCCCGTGGTTTCGCCAACATTTCATCAATCAACATCAATTTTTTCTGAGAGTAAGTGTTTGTTCCTTGGTGTTGCAGTTGTTCAAGAGACCATCGCTCTTGAACAACTGCAACACCAGGGAAATTCAGGTGCGTTACCGGCCTTTTTGAAAGGAGTACTTGAGTTCGTTTCTTGAAGGTGTCTCAGTCGTATCAGTCCGGAAGAATCGCCGGTTGTAGATGATTCCACAAAGAAGTTTTACGAGGAAGAATACTCCTAGTCATGAAATCGTACAGTCATGGTGGACCGCCAAGCATCTAAATGGTGCAGATGGTACCACGAAGTTTGTACCGATGTGCGTTGGTGGAATTTGGTGGCTGGAATTAATCCGAACAGTTGCCTAAGTACTTCCCGTGGACAATGCGATAGAAAATGCAATGAGATGGAACATCTCTTCGCAGCGCTAGTGAATCGAGCCGGTCAGAAAGATCTCGATCGTCGATAATTTGAGTCGCTCTTCGCTCGGTGCGCTCAAGTGGAAGGAGCTGGCGCTGAGGTACCCCGGTCCAAAGATAATCTCCATACTCCAAGTGAGGGCGAACTTGCGTATTGTAAAGTTTTGCCTTCCGCTCTGCTGCACACGCCAAGCTTTTTAGAGGGCAATTTAGCCTTCCCTTTCAAGTAACTGCGGAACTGTACGTTATTCGATATATCAATGCCGAGGATTCCCAATCCCATGCTGGCTGAGACAGCATGAGGAGTGCCCTGAAATTAAGAAGATACGTTTAAGAGGTCCTTTTTAGCGGTAAACCTTTGTCTTCTGAAGTTTAAAATGGACTAGAGTCCCCCCAATCCGAGATTTTGCTTATTAAAGACTCGATTTCAGACACAAGTTTGTTCCGATACTCGATGACGTGTTCTCGAGAAATATCTGCGTCACTTCTCAGTTGATGATCCTCAAAGTACCTTATGAGCTGGCAGTTTATAATTGATTGCATTTTGTTGGAGAACAAGAATGAAGGAGAAAGAAAGAAGGTGATAAGCCTGTAGTTGGACTGATTTGAACGGTCGCCTTTTTAGGGATTGGGTACATTAAATTTCATAAGTTTGGGATCAGGAGTACCGGATATTAGGAGTACCGCCTAGGGAGTAGGATTATCAGAAAAGATACGATAGAACTGGTACTAACACCGTCTTCAGCACAATAGGTGGGACATCAGGCGAACTCGACAGCATGGAGCAATAACACCGCGGGATGGTTGACGGTGTGTACCCCCCGTAATCGAGAGTTGACTTGGAATCAAAAATAGAACCTAAAAGATCGACTTTCTTTTTTGCGACATGGGCCAGTGAATCTTTCTCCCTGTGCAGATATGGAACAGAAATTACCTTTAACAGCCTTGAATATTTGTATATATAGAGGTCAGTGAGTTCCATTAATATGAACATTGCATATCCGTCCCAACAAAATTATCAGAAATTTAATTTATCAAAATGTTATCAGTATTAAATTTTTTCAACGATTTTATCGTAAAATGTTATTTGTATTATTAAAAATGAAAGCATTGAAAACACATAGTCAATTATTACATGTTTCTTAAAGTATATAGGGTTTACTTAATAAGTTGACTTGAGAGTACATCATAATATGCATTAAAGTATTTTAATTTGTGTTTAAAAAAAATTACCCTATAGTGTCGGTGTAAGAATATCCACTACTCCATATCATCTCTGGGTGTCGTAAAAGGCGACAGAGAGAAACTAATCAGGAGATGAGCAGCAATGTCTTCCTAATACCGATTAAAAATAAAAGAACTGCGGTTTGCGACCCGCTCGCCAAGCGTGCCAACTATAGCAAATATCCCCATATGCGGCAATATATGAGGAGGCCTATATTCAGCAGTGGACTTTAATAAGCTGTAACAGTTTTAAAAAAATAACTTAGTGTTGGAATTAGTATTTGGAATATGAGGATTTCTCTAAGAAATATTTATACCACTACTAGATTTTCTAGTTTTAAACGCACTGTTCTTCATAATTTTAACCGACTTTAAAAAAAGAGGAGGTAATCAATTTGAACGTATTTTTTAATGTGTATAACTTTTTTTAGGTGAACCGATTTTTAGTTTTTTATTTTAATGCTGGTGCTTCTCATGTAGCTCCATGTAAATTTAATCAAGATCTGACCAGTAGTTTTTAAGTCGTACTTAATTGGCTTCGACTACATTGATGATGTTCTTATTTTACTTTTATTGAAGTCGGTTGTACAAAATTATTAATTTTACCACTTGTTATCGAAAATAATCAAGAGTTTTTTTTAATCTATTCTAAGCCAGTACTTGTCTACAATCTCACTTTATGGACTTAGCTTTGTGGACTTAACAAAATCCCGTTCACTATAGCCTTGAAAATACCCACATTGTAAACGGTTGACAGGTGTTGACAAGTTATTTCACTCCTTTGCTGCACGTATGACTAGCGATGAAGCAAACTGTTTGGTTCGAATGCGTGTTAAGTTGACAACGAAGGGGTGGAGACTGGCATAGCGTTTGGTTGTCCGATTAGTGGAAGGAAGAGGGATGAATTAAGTTATGCACACTTTCCGATATTTATTATGAAGTTATATATTTCGTATTCTTAATTTTTTTCTAACTTAGTTCTAATATGAAGGGTTTTGATCGCGTTGATACTGTTATCCTGCTTAGGAAACTGCAATTCCATGGTATTCATGGGGATTTATTACGTTGAACGGCATCTTATCTAAAATATTGTTCACATCAAAGCAGCACATGAGCGTTATGAACATCAATATACCAGGTACCAAACCACATAGACGTGGTAGAGCCACACTGCATCTATTATGATTGTAGCATAAATGGGTCGGCTCGACCGGGGAAGGACCACGCTCTCACAGAATACAAGCGTAAAATAGCAGCTTAATACCGCTGTCTTTGAGTATTTAACACTACTGTAATAAATATTCTAACGCTGCTGTGTCTCGTATAGTGAGTGTAGAGAACCGGAGACCCGTTTTACTGGAATCAAGGCATTCCATCTTAGTCCTCAAGGGCGACAATATATCTGCATTTTGATTCTTAAGCGAGGTTAAATGTAGATGTCTTTGGGCCACAGTATCCACTTACCATTAGGTGGGCTGTGTGCTCGTGTGTCACCCTTATCCTATTTAAAAAAAACTTAGAGTTCTTTTAGAAGCGTATAAGAGCGTAGTAAAGAGGTTGTATCCGTATAAGAGTGGTTTATGAGTTATTATACAGCTCTAACTGTATAAAGTCATTATTATGGGCTCTAAGTAGCCTTAGGGTTCTTTCTTAATTAGAATATGAAAACTCTAGTATACAACTTTAAGTATTTTGTAAGACTTGAATCTGATTATATCATTAAATCTGTATAAAAACTGTATTTTGGATGCTATCATTTGCTAATTACAGCTCTAAGTGTTATTATAGTATCACTCAAATCTTATTTTTGAACAATGGTGTAGACAAACTATCTCCTAAAACTTATTTTTATAGTGTAATTGTACACTTTTATAAATACAAAGTAGTTTTATTACTTCTGTCTATGAGGGAGATATAACACTAAAAAATATATAACAGCCACGGTACAATATAAAGCTGTATAAGTAATAGAATATCGCCATTTGGCGTGTTTATATTTTGCTGACGAACGAAATTATTATTCATTAGACGATAACTGTTATTATTATTATAATCATAGTCTTTAGAATATGCTGTGGCTTTTCTTGACATAAATAGACGCCGGAACCCTAAAGACATAATATCCTTTTATTTTATCGCTTAGATTATTGATAGGTATTCCCGCGCGTCTGCGCGCGAAGACCTACCAATATAAGTTACTAACATAAGTTACTAATATAAGTTGTATTGTTTGTTCCGATGTAATGGCTATCGGTACAAAGCGGGTACTCAGGTACTTTATCTTCCAGTTAACTAGTAACAACCACATTGATCTACGTTATGCTTATCTATGGCACAGTTTAAAGTTGGACTCTCTATAAACATTTCGACATCGATCGTACAGGTTACACATATCAAAGAATGGGTATATATAGAGATTTATTCGTTTAATCACTACGAACACATATTTGTAAAATATCTAGTAGGTACCTGTAATTTGTCAACTGATTAAAATATT